CATCCGTGCTTTGCTTTCTCTTCCCAGGCTTATGAACAATATAACTGCCAGCAATTATGAGTTACCATATAGCCCTTTATAAGCAAGCACATTTATTTTTAAGGTGAAAGCATTACAGAAGTTAGCCAGCGTATATGTTAGGTGTAGTATACACCACGTTAATAGGTGTTATATGCATGATATTAATTTAATATTCATAAGCGTTGTGAAGTTAATCTAACTGAATGTAGTAGTCTCTTCTCACAGTTCTGTTCACTCATGTCAAGTATCTCTCAACACTCTGCAAAACTGAAGTCAGCTTTGGAATTAGAAAATAAGAAACTCGTAAAAGCAAAGATGCATGAATACTTTGTACCACGTACAGTTAAGGAGTACTTTTATGGCTCATCAACACTTAGACTGTAGTATTCAAAATAAGAGCTGGAAATTTTAGGGAGGTACCTTCACAGACCGGTACCTGGAATGCTTGTTTCCAAAATAAAGATAAGAAAGGTACAGAACAAGAAATTAAGGAAGGATTGGGGCCCCCTTTCGACAGAAGGTCCTGTCTGTTTGCTGCACGAGAAAGAAGGCCCTGAGTCAGTTTAGACTCGGGCTCTTTATTCAAAAGTTCTTTTTGTCTGTTGGTCTCTGGAGAATCCAGTTTGCACTAGTATATGTGAGCCTGTCCAGGTGGTGGTGCTTCTCTGGAGGTGTACCTAAATACATTTGCCTAATCACCCCCTACTGTTCTTAGTTCCTGGAGGAGCTGTGGTCACCCTCTCCCATGGAATTATGTTGAATCCCTGACCCACAATGATACATAAACTTCATACAGTAAGTTCTCCCCGAGATATTGCAGGAGATTGCCACATCTTGCCCTTAATGAACTGGATGTAACTACTGTGTTTGACCTACATCCTAGGGAAACCCATTGACTTATTTCCTGGACAGGTTTATTTGTGTGGATGGTGTTTCTGTCATTACTTTTCATAATTTCACATTTCATCCTGGTCTGCAGGCACCTGGACCACCTCTGGCAGTGATGCATTAGGGCTGGACAGAATGTGGTTGCTGCCTCTGTCAGCTTCTCTCTGGCCTTCTTCCCGGGAGTCGGCTCCAAGATTTCCCCTGGTGGGCTGGATGTGTCCTGCAAACCATCATTCTCCCCCTCCCCACCCCGGTCATCAGCATACTTGCAAGTTCACGAGCTGTACTGTTGTCTGATCCTTACTGCTGAGCTGCCTTTCTTTGCATAGATCAAGCATCTGACATGTCTTCAACTGTTCATAATTCATTCTCTTTGTCTTTCTTTTCTCTCTTCCTTTCCCTAAAAGACTGAGACTTTTCTTTTTGCTTTTCCCTTCCATGGTACTTGCTTTCACTGCTGTTGGGACTTATGGTAATTCACCCAGTCCTAGATCCCACACATGCTGACACCCTATATGTCACAGTTCAGGGCAGTGGCACCTATATTCTCCCCTTTATGGTTCCTTGAGGGCGCCAACTCTAGGCTCCTTAGCCATCACCTCTTTTGGGTACAGACCTGCATCCAGGGATTTTCCAGGCTGAATAGTTCCCTGTCTGCACTGTGGTATTCCCACCAACCCAGACTGGCTAAACAGTCCAACATTTGTGCTTTGCTTTGTCTGCAAAGTCTTACAACAATGTAATTGCTGACAGTTATGAGTTACCACACAGCCCTTTATAAGCAAGCACATTTATTCTGATGGTGAAAGCATTACAGAGAAAACATATAAAATAATAAAAGTTCCTATACGCATGCTAAAAGCTTATCTGATGTCACCCATCAGTCTTATGCGGCCTTAGTAGGCCAAAGTCCTTCCCATCCTTCCCAGGAAGGATTGGGGTATCCTTTGGACAGAAGGTATTGTCCAGTTGCTGGATCAGAAAGAAGGCCCTGAGTCAGTGTAAACTCAGATTCTTTACCCAAAAGTCCCCACCACACTGTTGTTAGTTTCTGGAGGAGCTGTGGTTCCCCCTCCCCCATGGAATTACACAGAATCCCTGGCCCACAATGCTACTTCTTAATAGAGGAAGATCTCCCACAGATATTGCAGGAAGTTGCCATCTCTGTCACAATGACTACTTGTGGTCACTAAAAGATCCCATGGCAATTTCAGCAAGATGTCTGTTGTTCTGACCAATTTTCAATATGGGAAATACACTCTGCCTCCCTAAATTCCTCATTGACTTCAATGGAAACTGAGTTAAACCAATATAGAGCAGTGTGGAAATCTCATTGTGTGTATGTGCATTATATAATTATTCATATACTCTGAATATTATAGCAGAACTCACGCTCAAAAATCTTCAGATACACACTAAAGAAACTGCAGTACAATGGCAAAAATAATGAGGTTTGATGAAAATGATGATTGAAAAGAAAATTCACTTTCCATTGGATATGTACCTAAAATTGGCATTTTATTAAAAGCAGGCTGACCTATGTGGTGAAATGCAGAAAATGCTATATAAATATATGGAAAGCTGTGTATTCCACATAGTTTTAGATGATTGTACCTTCATGAAATTGAAATGCAGATGAGCTGATTAAGATCTGATATTCATTATACTTTAGTATTGTCTAGCAGAGTTCTGTATAATCAGACATGCACAACATGCTTCCTGAGCACTTTCACAAAGCCTTGACTGTATAATGACAGTTAAAGTGCATCTTTTCCAATAATTACATGGTCTGCATTCGGTCTGGGCTAATAAACTTCAAGACAACTTAAATTCCACATTTTAATATTAGAAATCCATTTAATTATAAGTAATCTTCAGATCTGTATGTCACCTATATTTGCATTTATATTCCGCAGTGACTCTGCAATATAATTTTCTGTTTATTGTCTTGAGTATGCATCTAATATAAATCTACAATTTCACGTAGGCCATGCTGGCACACAGCCAGACCTTTAATTTATCTCACCCTTGTTTTGTAAACTAAAAGAAACTGCTGGTGTGATTAGCAAACGTTCCATAGGCAGGGCTGAGGTGGTAGCTTGAACAAATACTACCTGTTTACCTGTATTGTCAATCTCCAGATGAGTTTTTCTAGAAACAAAAACTGTTAAGATATGCTGTTTCCTCATGTAATATTCCTACAAGGTATCTGCCAGCAATGGGCTTTTTCCCCACTGGAGTTGGAGAGGCTATCAAAGAAGGTAATTTTCAAATTAACAGTCTGTTCACCACAGGGGAGTAAGTAGCCAAGTAGAATCTATTGCCGTTAGGATTTTTGCCTGTGCTGATTAATTGTTTTCCATTCTAGGCTATCATATTGGTAAAATATTTACATTATGTATGATGAAAATCTGCTAGGAAATGAATCCACACAGTGTTGCTGCCTTTTGATTTTCCTTGTCTCTGAAACATTGCCATGGTTTTGGTTTATTTGTACTTTTCTCTCTATCCCTTGCTGTCACACTCAGTAATTGGCCTAATAAAAGGTAGCATCAAGAATTTATTACACCTCGAGCAATACTTAAAACAAACTTTTATTTGCTGGAACAGCACTTTTTATCTACTTGCTGCTGTATATTTTGACACTCCCTCTAAATACTAAATCTGACTTTATTAAAAGTTGAATCACTGCACTTTTTTTTTCTGTGTGTAGGGGGTTGTCATTGCTTTTGCGGTTTCTGAGGCAGACTAATATTTCTATATAAATAAACATTTCATTTTAATGAAGCTTTAGGAGACACATTTAAGCAGGGGCTATATCGACTTCATTACTGTCAATCCACAAAAGTTGCATGATTTAAAGAAAATATTCTTTAATACTTTTGTAAATTACCCTTGGAATAATTCTGGCGATGACTAAGGTGAATACAGATTTAGTGTTTTTATAACATTTTCCTCAAACAAAAGGTATCTTTTTATTCAGAGTGGTTTGATAGAGAAGAAAACATGTTAGTCAGACTTCATTGTGAACTAAATTCTGACGTTGAATTTGTATTTCATCCATATAGCAGACAGTAAAATGATCAAGGAAAATAATTTTTAAAAATTGTCTTAAGAAATTGCAATACAAATTCCTGAATTTGTTTTATGCAGGAATTTTTATTTTTTTTATCTTCCAGTGTTAAAGCAACAAGAAAACATTTAGAACGTCCTTTGGTGGAATCTTATTACACTTGTTATATATGTAAACTGATATTCTTTGATGCCAGCACGTTGCCCATACAGAGAAATCTCTGCACAATTAAATGAAAGGAGAAAAGAAAAAAAAAAGATTAAATAAAAAGTAATATTTTTCTTATCTGATTAGAATTAAATACATTAATAAATTGTCTGGTAACACAAATTGTCAATAATACAAAAAATCTACATTGTACATTATTTCAAGAAAAATAACTTCATTTGAATACAAAAGGATAAATACACTTTTTGTCCTATAGCCACTCTTGTACAGTAGATGAACACAGCATCTTACTGATGCGGTGCTGCTAAAATATACAAGGATATGACTGTCTTGAGTTTTATTGAGGGGGGGCTGTTACACATGTGCATCACTAACATCAGACAAAGAAACCTTTCAACCAACAAGGGTTACAGAGCAACGTTCACTAAAGCACAGGTTGGAAGGGATTTAGGGACTGAAGCAGGCCAATATGGCAGCTTTAACAGATTTCCTTATACCCACAATGCACTGACAGCAAAGAATGCCTCTATTTGGTTGGTCCACACACTGGGCAGAGGTACAGTAGCGCACCATATCAAAGTGGCAAATGTTTTTTATTTTCCATTTTGGGGGCTCGTCAAAGCCTTTTCAATCCTGTGTACTCTTTGCAGCTGGCATTGTTGTTTGTAGTAATAGACTTGGCAGCTGCCAACTTGTCTTGAGTCAGAAATTAACAGTCGTTTGACTCAGAGTGCTGTCCACAATTGATTAATATGGCTTAGTTCAGTTGGGCCTTCTTAGTTTATACGTGGTTTTATTCTTTTTCTTTTTTAAAATTTTAGTAGCAAATGCTTGGGTTTTGTTTTGTTTCTTTTGTGGCACATTCCTTCTGAAGCAGTCTGAACGCGATGCCATCAACCAGACGGAGCCTAGAATATGAAAAGCCCAGTTACTCCTAGTAGAGCAGTCAGCGGTAATAGAGGGCCATGTGATACTGCCATGTTGCCGGAGTTTTGGCTGCAACCTCCTGGATCCCTTTCACACTTCAGCTTCTCACACAAAATGCCAGTGTAGGCTGGAGGGCACTGGCATCGCATGTTTTTGAGGCATGTTCCTCCATTCTGGCATTGCAGTAGTTCTTTGTCACATACATTTGCTACAGGACAAGGGGAAAATAGAAGAAGAGCAGAATAAGCTTAAATTCATTTGTTACAGAAAGCTTTAAACTTACATTTTTTTCTCCTTAGAGATGTAAATAGATATGTGATTCCAGTTTCCCAACAATTGCAGTTTACAATTTTTTATCATTTAGCTATTTTCCCATACATTTTTCTTGCTTTAATCTTAGAGAATATGATCTTCCATTTCAGACAACTGAATACTAAGTTACTTAATATCTACTGTTTGTCAGTGTCTTTACTATTATTGAACTGGAATGTTTGGTGAGTGCCTTATTTGAAAGGACATTGTCTGTGCTAGCATCACAGAGCTCTTGAAAAACATTAATGGCAATTAAAAATGCAACACAATGAGGTGAAATGAATAGAACTGTATGAGAAATCTGACCCTGATACGGAGTGACTTTTATGTATTAATGTTCTGGAAGATCAACAAAAAGCAGTAGGGGATATGGCATGGGAAAGTCAGCATGCTCTATGGGTGTTAAACGATGTTAGTTTAAATTCACACACCATGTCAATGTGAGAACAGAGAGAATGGGCACCATTTTCATTACAGACCTACGTATTTCTTCTTAATTGTGTCTGGTGCTTAGGTACCAGGGCGAGACACAATTTAGAAATACCTAAGATAGCTACTGGAGAAAGGGTCACTACACTTTTGCTTTCCATTAATTAAACAAAACTGGATTGAAACATTCCCCTATAAGGGCGTGTACAGGCATACCATGCTATTGTCTCACTGTACGTTCTAGATTATATTATAGAATAGAATATGCTATAAATTATATTCTCATTTTAATGGAATATTTTCATAGCTTCAAAAGCCAGAAGGGACCATTGTGATCACCAAGTCTGACCTCCTGTATAATACAGACCATAGAGCTTCCTCCAAATAATTCCTAGGGCAGATCTTTGTTTATTTTAGTTTTACTTTAAGGAGGACAAAGGGACTGACCCTGCACTCCTAATTTGGGCAGAATTCCCATGCAATCATTAGGAATTTGCCCTGAATAAAGGAAAACATGATTGGATCTAGTGTAAGGCCTCCGGGATTTGGAACAATATTATATATTGCTTAAGCATGGAACATCCAGAGAACACCCTAAAGGAGGCAAAGTAGAAAAAGAAATTATTGCCAGTCTTTCCACTGTGAGATGTGCTAATTGTTCTTTACATTCATAGATTTATAAATGCTTCACTTTTTTTAATGTATAAATACCATGAAAGCTAAAATCCAAACAGGTGGCCCAGATTCTCAAATGTTGTTGTTTGGTAAAGCTCTACATAGCTTTACCAAGGCTGTATGGTGATTTATATCAGCTTTACGAATGGCCCAAAGCGTTTCTAAAAATGCCTTTGATTTATCAAAAACCAAGTTATGTTTTATCTACCCCCTCTTAACACCATCCTCTTGAACCAAAACAACAACAAATAAGTCCAACCATCCCAAACACCATGAGTTGTTTTCACCCTTAAATATCCTTTCTCACATATAACCACTTTCTAATTCAGTTCATACAAATGAGTCAAATGTTGATGCGCTTCCTCCCTAGCATGTAATAATATGAAAATAACCAAAAGGCAACATCTACCCAAGTTTCTCACTTGACACCTTTCTCAATTATTCTTTCTTTTTGACCAATTAATATAACATTGACAAGCATCCACAGTTTTTGTTCAATAAGTGTCTCAACTGATTATCAAAGTTCAACTAATGCAGTATATTCAGGATATTATGACACGTAGACCGTATGTCTGCATTTCAGTGTTCTTTAGTATAGTACATTTGGCTATTTTTACATGATGAATATAAACTAACTGGAATAATAATAAAGTAAATTTGATGAGATTTACAGTTTGGGATAATACTGAATACAATGGTACCAAATCCAGAATGGTAAACTAAATTTTTACATATTCAAAGTAAAATTGAATATTTGGTTGTCTGTTATAATGAAGACCAAAAATATTTATATATAACCATACAATTTATGTAGTATTAACTTAATCATAGCAATAGCAAAGATCAAATACAAAATACTGTCTTATTTAAAGATAAAGCTGGTGGACTTGGCTTATTCTAATGTAACAAGCCTGTAACATTTTCTTTGATTTGGGCAATAGTGGTGGTGAAATATCAATAAATACATATATGGAGATATACCTATCTCATAGAGCTGGAAGGGACCTTGGAAGGTCATTGAGTCCAGTCCCCTGCCTTCACTAGCAGGACCAAGTACTGTCCCTGACAGTTTTGGTTTTTTTTTTTGTTTTTTTTTTTTTGCCCCAGATCCCTAAATGCCCCCCCAATTGAACTCTCAACCCTGGGTTTAGCAGGCCAATGCTCAAACCACTGAGCTATCCCCCTCCCCCGGCCTTGAATAATTGAGTAGAAATCAATAGTTAATTAAATACTCTTTTTAAATAGAAGATGAGATCTTTTTTCTTAATGTTTGGTTTTGAATCCAAATTAGATATATACCAAAGTTTGCCTTTTCCAAGTAGCCAATTAAACAAGTTTATTTGCTAGTACATTTTCTATTTAAAATTTTTGTTTTTGACAGACGCACTGATTTTTAAGATAGTCTCTGATCTTTTATCCCTAGTTTTCTGTGTGTGAATATTGTGGTAGCATTCCACAGTACATTCACTGCTAACTCTACCTGATCTACAGACACAATAAAGCACTTAGAAATCTAACTGCTATAAAATATCCCCACAATAATTTGCACCTACAAAATTGCAGATGCAACATCACATAGGATGCTTTTTAAAATTAGGCCCAATATCTTTCATTATATCTGATGTTTTCTTAAGTCATAAAAAGAACTGCTGCATAAAAAGTTTCATCATCAATGCTTTTTTGTGTACTCACAAAAACCACATACAAAGGCTAATGAAAGTAGACAAAGGCATAGTTTAATGCCTGAGCAAAGTACTAGGAGTTAGTAATTCTGAGTTTCTAATCCTTGTAATGTCAGTGACTTCTCTTATGAACTTGGCAAGTCATTTAATTTCTTTCTTAATTTTCTCATCTGTAATACATAGATAATAATTAGGATTGTTTTGGAAGATGGGGGCAAACAGTTGTGAAAGTTTTCATGAAATTTCATTGCTGGTTTCTAATAATTTTATATTTGTTTTAATTTTCCAATCAGTTCTAATACCCTAACCTACATCACAGCGGTGTTGGAAGGAAAGATGCATTGCTTGCAAATGGCTATGAAAATGACAAGCCCTATCTACATTCAAATTACCATTATTTATGTTGCTACTATTTTATTGACTTACAAACTGCATTAACTTCAGATAATGTTTCCAGCACATAAGTAGCACAAAGCTATGTATCTGTACTTGAATTGTGACCAAAGTTGCTCACTTAACTAAGCCTACTCAGCTTGCTGCAAAGACAAAGAGAAGGGCCGATACGTTAGTTATAGTTTGGAAAATCTCTTAATTTTTTCCCTATCTACTACGTTTTAAAAGTTAAATGTAATATTTTGTCAGGAGAGTTTACCCTGATACTTGTATTATTATGTACTTGCTCCCTATCAAACAAACCCAATGATAAACAATAATAAAAATTTAACATCTCCCTTCCAACATTGTGAAATGAACAAGGCTCTATTTGTTCTTGTTTCTATTAAAGAAATGTCAAGGTGGAAACAACTGTATGTATTAGGCTAGGAATAAGATCCACAAAGTACCCATCCAGCTACTTAAATTAGTGGTGGTTATTTTCAGAGTTTGTGGTACCAACTTTTGCTTCCATTTATTTACACCATTCAGATAAGCCAGGCCTTAGTAAGAGGTCTGCAGTCACTCCTGTAGTGAAAAAAGGACTATATGTAATGTCTTGAATATAACTATGTAGGGCTTTCAGAGTCCAGAGTCAGCTGTGCCTGAGCAATGCATTTTAAATTTTATTTTTTCTTCTAATTGTCAACACAAATGTACCTCATTAATAACCTGGCAGATATCTGCTGGGCTGCCAATTCTGTCAAAGTATGTGGTGGATTTTTTGCTAATGCACATACACAGGACAAAGATGATCCCACCAAACTTATATCCTTACCCAGAACTGTAAACCAGGGAACAAATTCACTGCTGGAGTAATCAGACACAACTCCATTGACCTTAAAAGATTAGCGATTTGCTTTTAGTGTTGGAGGCATGGTGCAGTGTGTGTGGTTAAAAAAATATATAATATTAAAATGAGTCATTTTAGGCAGCTTCAATACAGTAGAAGCTCAGAGTTACTGACACCTGGGGAGTGGAGGTTGTTTGTAACTCTGAGCAAGCCATTAGGGGATGCTCCTCAGAGCGGACTGCTTGGAGCGGGGGCTCACAGCTCTGCAGTGGTGAGTTGGGGTGGGGGGGACAGGTAGTGTCAGTGGGTGCGGGGTGCAGGCTGTGGTCCTTTAAAACTGAGCTGCTCCTTCCGAGCACAGCATGCAAGCACTGCCAGGCAGGAGCTCGGGCTTCGGCTCCAGCAGTTTATACTCCAGGCCGGGTTTCAGTAGCAGCTCGGGAAATTTCTTTCCCAGGCTCTGAACTTGCAAGCTTGTCCCCCTCCCAGCCAGGGGGAAGGGAGAGGGGAAAACAGCAGTGAACCTGGCGAGTAGGGGGTGTTTGTGGGGACAGGCAGTCCAGATGTACCTATCTTTAAGATGCAATGCAGGCACAATACAGTATAGTGGTTTTTTTTTTGGTCTCACTACGATTACTTTAAAAAAAAATCACGTTCAGAAAACAACCTCCAAAAGGCAAATAGGTTTGTTTTTCTGTTTCCCCACATCTCCCTCCTCCTTCCCCCCCCATCCCCAAAAGCAAGCTTGTTTTCCACCACAGAGCAAATGCTCTCAAGATGTAAGAGAAGAAAAGGGCCTTTTTTCTCTGCAGGACCATTTATGGGATCATATACTGCTAGTATATCCATCCTGAGGCACAAGTGTCTAGCCTAATATGTAACAAG